GGGGGGGGGGGGGGGGGGGGGGGGGGGGGGGGTTCCCCCCCCTTTTTTTTAAAACAAACCGAGGCCCAAAAGAAAAAAAAAAAAAAAAATATTGAGACCGCCCCCCCCCCCCGAAGGTCTGAATCCGCCACTGGTTTATATCTGGTAGAGGTACAAAGTATTTAGGTCTCTGCTGTAACACTTAAGCCAAATGATAAAGACTATACGAAAAACTTCAATTGTAACCGGCTCCCATTGTAGTGTTAAAATGATTACCTCATGTGGCCCAATCAACTGAATAAACTTTCTATAAATTAAAAACGTGACTTAGAGGGAACTTTAATTACAATTAACTTTAATTACAATTTACAAACATTTCGGAGATTTTGTCAAGTGCATTTTTACGAGTTTGTTGCAAATTCAGCATGAAAATATAATTGTCTACCTACCAGTAAACATCGACAAGCCAAAGTTCGTCGCTTTCTTGGTATTTGTTGCTACGACTGCTTCATTTATCGCTCAAATTTCGCCTTCCAAAAATGTATCGAAACGAGACGCCATCTTGGCTGCGGTCGCAAAACAGTGAATAGCCAAGGATATTCCGAGTTACGTGAGCCAATCAAAACGCGCGAAAATTGCTATTCACTGATTTGGTGTATACTTAAGTCGAATACGTGCCACAGAGCAAACACATGCTTAAGCCACTTTAATTTTGCTTTCCTTTGGCGGGCAGTATTTACTTGAAAGAGCTCTGCCTTATGGCAGCTAGGACTTCTGGTGCTGTTTGTAGTTCTAGGACCACTCCTTAAGTCATGTTTGGAAGAATTTCGTTACACTCATTGTCCTTCATTTATTCGTACTTAGCTGTGGCCATGACCATTGCCTTAGCGGTGATATGTGTAGCAATTTTACTGGCGGTCATCCTCATCATCACTCTCTGTCGCAGAAACAGAAAGGAAAAGGAGAGACTTGAACATAAAAACGAGTGAGTATACGCGACCGTCCTTCCACTCACTTATCAGAACGGGCAGGAGCCAATCAGGTCTTAATGGGCCCCTGGAAAGGGACTTGACCCCCTACCGGTTATATCTGTTGCTAGTGCACACCTCTGCTGTGACGGGAGGTCGCAGAAGAGCTTTTCAGGCCGGACCAACCGAGGGGGTCCTAAAAATTTTGCAAGATCGTCCTCACGGATATAAAGAGAGATGATGGGTTCAGTCATTGTTCATGCCCCCCTGTTTTCCTTGAATCTTCCTTCCTTCCTTCCTCACATATTGGTTTCTATTACGTAGATCCGTGCCAACATGATACGCGCATGCACCTTCAATGCGGACCTTCTTCCCAATCGTCTCTTCTGTTAACAAATAGAATAGCTTGTCCAGATTTCATCAAATTGATTAACACTCACATAGTTGAAAGGCAACGTGAAACGAAAGTTAAGCTACAAGCTCAGATATGAAAGCTGTGAGCAACCACTACTACTACTCATTAGCGATATCAGGAAACATTTTCGAGTCGTACGTCATCATTAACATTGCTATGGCAACCGAGCTTTGACAGCCAGATTTTTCAAAATTTGCTTATTTCTTTAAAAAAATGATTTATTTCTAATTTAACATATTAAATACAGTATTACACTAATTCAGCAATACTTTATCAAATTTATGATAACTATAAGTGTAATCCAGGCTTTTTAGTGATTGATTTAGGAAAAACATGAATTTAAAATGGCCAAATGGCAGGTGTTGGGTTCAGTTTTTAACAGTGTTTATTTCTCGCGGAATTTCAAAACTTGCTGATCTTTCTTTAATTCCTGACTACCCTTTTATACACAGATCAATTTTTCTATCACGATAACCTCGATTTATACGAGTTCAAGGAAAATTAAATACATTTAACTAATTCAAGATGGCGCATTCAGGATGGCAGATGGTTCCAGATACTTCTTTAATAATAAATAACGTCATCATGACATCACTGCTTTTGCTAAAGATTAGTTATGTGTTAGCAAACTTCTTAGTTTTGCCATACACCCTACTATTTGAGTATTTTTCGCTCCAAGGGAAAAAATTGGATTTTGCTAAAAAATTCAACAAATGACGTCATAATGACGTCAAATTACGTCATTGTGCAAACCAAGTTATGACTAGAAGTTGGAAATGATGAGCAATGATGAGTAATGTTGGTGGCTGTTTCATGAGCGGTTTTGAAGTTATAGAGGGGGGTCCAGAAGCCCCACCAAACGGTCGCAGGAAGTTCCAGAAAGGCCGGTCTGTTACGTTTAGAAAGCTTCAATTGAATTTTAATATTAGCTTCAAATTTTTCTATTAATCCTTTTTCCGCTCGCAGAGATATGTCAAATATTATTGAAAGAAGATACGACGACTCCGTCAGCATGAGTAGTTTAGCGCGTCATGTCCCTTCTGTTGGAAGTTTTCCAGAGCCGCTAAAGGAGCCCGAAATGATTGACTTAGACAATTTCGCCTTTGATCAGGAAAGTCTGAACGAGAGCATTCACGAAATGGCCTTCACGTTTGGCGCCGATGAGGAATACCAACCAAACGCGCAAAACAAGCAAGAAGACAGGAAAGATGGTGTCAGTTGTGGAAATGCAACCTATGCAGTTGTCATGAAACCCAAGGCTAAAGCTAAAGAGGACATAGTGGATGTTAAACTGTAGTTATTTTTCGCCCCATGAAAAGGAATCGAAGCCAAACTTAGATGTAAATTCCGGATTCTTTGTCCTTGAATTCCGGATCCCAATCGTCAGTAGGATTCCTTTAGCTATGTTCCGGATTCCAACTCACCCAGGATTTCGGATTCCGCGAGCCAAAATTTTTGGAATTGGGGAATCCGGATTCCCTTCAATGGCGATATCTTTTGATGAACTTTTTTAATACATTAGCTGATGATCATGGTGGTGCTCAATCTCAATTGTGGGGCGGGGGGGGGGGGAATCCCCATGGCGCCCGTGACATTCCATCCAGTTGTATTACGAGGAAAAATGCTACTTTTTGTTACTTATAGCGCGGGTATATATTTGCACACATTTTCACATACAAAGAAAAAGGCATAGACATTTCTTGGGATTCTCCTTTGCAGCAAAACTGGATTTCTCAAAAATCGTGGCGACAGGCAGGAGCCAGGTTAAGCTTAGTTCAAGTGAAACAATTCGAATTCATTATTTTCGTCTCTTGCTTCAAAACAATAGTCGGTTGTCATCACAAGGCAGAAAACGTTGCAACATTTTAATGTTTGAATGTTGGGTATCCTGTGAGAAAGGGAGTTTAAACGCCTAAGCCGTTTTTTCCCTGTTTAAGTCAAAACCTTGCCAACCCTGAAACACTGCCTGTTTAAGAAACTGTAATATAATTTTATTTTTCATATGACAATAAGTGTAATCAATATAAATACCATAATCAGATTATCACAACGATGTACTTAAAACCCTTGGTTAGTTAAGACAATCATGCATACATATTTAATTATACTAACTGTATTGAGAACCTGATTATAGAGAGGATACCGTAATTCTTCGGATAATAGTCGTGGACGATTATTTCAAGCTTTGTTTGCATCGAGAAGGCGCGATTAATGCCTAAATTTTGCTTGCCGGATGTTGGTCCCTTAACCTGTCCTTGGCGGATGGCACTCTACCTAGTACCCAGGGTCTTCTCGTTTTCCCTATGACGCTTTTTGAAAGCCGAGAGGCCCCTAAGCGAGCTCGCCGCCTGTCGATTCTTACTCTTGACTATCAGTGCAATTAACGTCATTAATGGCAATGTTATCGTCAATGTTATCGGCAAACATCTTCCAAATTTGGTCAACTCTCACTAAATAGGAAGAATAGACCTTTTTAGCTTGTATCTTTCGTTTTCCCAACTCAGACCACGAGACATTCTCCAGGGGATTTGCCTTTTGTCTTTTCATAAGGTGTACACACATATGCACGTGGATGCACGTGCACGGGACGACATTTGAAAAATAACAGTTCCCTGGAGTACCATCACGTGGTGTGAAATGGGAAAATGAAACATACAAGCTACAAAGGCTTGTTGGAAGATGGATTAATCGGGGACGGAAAATTTTGGGAATGAATAACAAATTATTCTTTAACAAAGACTACACATAGGCTATTGAATGACGTTGAGTATGATATGAAGTTTCACGCAGATGTACTGGCGGGATTGTCATGCGCGGGGTACTTTCTTGGCGGCGGAGCTGCGAGGGATTTTCACGAACGGCGATTTCAATTTAACTTGTTCCCAGTCTTCTCGTCACTCCCCCGCTAATCCCGCCAGTTACGCAAATACTCATCAAAAAATGGAGGGCATCCATTGAGAAATATTTCTTGCGTATTCTTGCATTAACCAAACGGCTATTTCGTCTTCGGATAGCCTGTGAACTCTTTCGCCATTTCCGTGAATTCACTCACGCCAAAACAGCTAGGCTGCCGGGGCGCTCCCTAGAAACGAGGTTGCGATTGTATATTGGGGCAATATACCCTGAACTTATCGATGGAATGTTGCCCCCATCGTCAATTTGGTCAATGCTGACGATGACGGCCCCTGCATGAGTGATATGAATATACGCATGCGCAAGTTACTGACCAGGACAAATGAGAAAATGAGTTGGAGTAGTGTGTGCTTTTTGCTGAATTATGAGCTCATGAAAATCATTGGCGATCAATAAATTTTATCTTCAAAGTCCTATCTGGAACTGCCACTAATCTAAACATCATGGATGCAGGTTCTCCTTGGTATTCCAAAATGAATCGCTGAACGATCTGAAATTAAGGCCGCATGAAATGCTGTTATTAGTAAACAATGGTTGACAATGGTCATGGTTATGCTGGTATATATGGGACCCCGTTTGGAAATTTATAATTAAGACCAATTTTCATTTTACGTCATTTTGTTTAAAATTATGACTGAAATAAATAACAATATTATTCACCGAAGTGAAAGTGGCTGGTGGTGAGTGAAGCGGCGAGGTAAATACTCACAACTAGCCACCGACACTCATTTATCTCACTGTTTTAGTATATACTAAAACAGTGCGATAACTGAGCACAAAAATGATGATTTTTAACTCATTTACTATTGCCATTTACAATTTTGCGCGCAATGACCAAACGGCCGCGGTCGTCGATTTTTGCTGCCGAAAAACAAAACTTTTGAAGGCATTTGTTCAGCTCTTGCAGGGAAATTTTTTTAAAAAGGAGTTGTGATTTCTTTTTGTACTAAAAAACATTCTGTAAAAAAGATTATTAAATTCAGTGTTTAGCTTATTTATGAACAAGTCAACTACATAAACTAACGCAAGACTCAAGCTTAATTTGCATTTGTAAACAAAAAAATTTTTCACCGGTTTCATCGATAAATTTAAGTCAAAAAGACAAAGCTTTACCTGTTAAAACTTCCAAACCGAACCTCGTCTTCTTCTTCGTGTATCTCGGGAACAGCTTGCTTGATTATTCGTGAAATGTCTTGGATTGTTACGGCAGCAAACCGGAAAGCCATTTTGCTCGTAACGTACGCGAGTTTAGCGTCGCTCGCTCGGAGGAAGTGGAGGTGAATCAGTGAATAGCATTGGATATTCACTGACTGAGTAGCCAATCAAAGCGCGTGAAAAAAACTATCCACTATTTTAGTATGTACTAAAATTTGATGCTTCTTAATACTAACGGTAGCTTAAGTCGCAGACATCACCTTACCCTGGTTAGTAACGTCTCCAAAGCAGCGCTGATATCCTTGTTCAGGATCCCTAACCGGGACTTAACGAATTACCGGAAATGCTTTTTGAATTTCCTTTCAACCTGATTGGCAAATCCACAGTGGTATTTTTAACAGGCCAATCATGGCGTGTACTCAAATTCTGGTACACAGGTGGGGTCCCACAACAAGGATTTCGGTGCTGTTTCGCAGACGGGCTCAACTTAAGATAAGTTCCATCTGTGGTGCAGGCTACTTATTATTGTGCCCTTAATTTTTTTTATACAATGTACTAGTGTCCATTACCTTTGCGGCCAGCAGGTAAATTTCAGCTTCAGCAATACGGCGGCCTGCAATGCAATAAATATCATTTAGTCTCGGATGTTGAGTCACAAAAAAGCCAAACACGGTAAATCAAAACGTTTCTCTGATTATAAGAGAATCGTCCCACGTAAGGAAATCGAACACAATCTTGGATTATGAGGGCTTGCTTCTTCGGGCCTGCTCGGTATTAAATAATGAACTCACCTATACACATACGAGGACCGACTCCAAACGGAAGACTAGCAAAAGGATGAATTTTCCCAAGGTCTTCATTCAGCCAACGTTCGGGTCTGTATTCCAAGGGAAACTTGAACAATTCTTCGGACCGTCCAGAAAGGTAATTGCTATAAACAATCACAGTCTGTGCAGAAGAGAACAAAGGTTTAGATGACAAAATAAGACATTTAGGGTGAAATGTGGTGCTTATGTTGTTTGTTTGTTTCTTTTTCTTGTATTTTTTTGTAAGAAAATGATTCGGTCACGACCGCGCCAGCAAGCAGATAATAGATAGTTTAAGCTTCACGTATACGGCGAACGGCAAACGTCAGATTCAAGTCAAGAATTTCTCACAATAGAAAATGAGCACATAAAAACAGCAGAAAGCTATTCTTAGGGATAAAAAATTGCGTAAAACTACTAATTTATGTGTTGAGATAATGAACAGTAAACGACAAGTAAAGAGTCAACTTGGTCACGTGGTACAAATTCGCGTTTGCCGTTTGACGTAAACGTGATGCTTAACCTCTCTAATGTGCCCCGGAACAGGAAACCCGTTGGGTCCGTTTTATATGGAGAAAACCTGTCCCGGGTAGCCTACGTGTAGCCGCACCCTCCCCCCGACGAAGGACGTTTTTCCTTCGTCGGGGGGAGGGTGCGGCTACACGTAGGCTAGTCCCGGGTAGAAGGATCACCCTCCCAATCGAGTCAACTTTAACGGGCGTTTATATGAGCAAGCAGCGCTCGCGCACGCTCAGATTGTCTCACCTTGGCCGAGTTGACCCGGTTGGGCGAGGTAAAGTGTTTACCTGGAGAAAAGATGGCCCGGCTAGGCGCTTCTAGCTGAGCCAACTTTTTATTTCGCCTTTAAACGATTCGCCACATTTTGTAGGAAAATGTATAAAAAGTTGGGTCCCCCAGTGTAGCTCGGGTAGGCGGTGTGACTCTTCTCACCCGGACAACTCTTCTCCATAGAAACGCGGGCCTTAACTGGTTCAAATCGTCTTTATAGCCAATTCTGATTTCGTATCACTAGCGAAAGCCCTAATATAAGTTCTTCGTCATCTATCATAATATTTTGAATTTCGTTGATTCAAGAAAGAAAAGCCTTTAACACAACCACAGAGGTAATGACTCACATAGAGGATTTTCCTGTGTGGCATCTCGCTGGATATTAACGATGCCGAAATAGTGAATTTCAGCTACTATATAAAACACAACTGAAAAAGAAACTGCGGACCCTCTCAATTAACGAAGAGCAGAAACGGAGTGTCAAACAAAGAACCTTGAGCTCGTAGAATCACACCATGCGAGCAGAGCTTCCTTTTGTCTTCTTGTTTGTCGAGAGGAAGAAGAGGAGGCTCTACCTGATATCGCATCACGCCTTTGAAGCCGCCACAGCCTTAGCCTGCAAGCAAGCTCTCCGGGCGCTCTGGCGGCGGGGCGGGAAAAGGAAGGACAGCTTGCTACTGCGTCTCTGGAGTTTGAATATCTGCATCGAAAAAGTCGATGCGAAATGCTGATTGGCGGAGATGACATTAGTAATGACGTCATTACTTTTGACACGTGTTTTTCAATGTTTGTTTACATTCGCGCTCATTTCCGCTTCGCGCTGATTGGCGGAAATCTGACAGTACAGTCGACGGGGAGCCGCAGGGGAAATGGAGGTGGAATTCAAATTCCAGAGACGTAGTTGCAAGCTCTCCCTCCTTTTTCGGCCCCGCCACCAGAGCACCCCGGACACCTTGCTCGCAAGCTACCGCAGCCTGAACTTCTGGACTATAGTCAACCTTGTTTTCTCTCGTCAAACTGGTTTTTCGAGTGCGAGCATCCGTTTATTGATAAGCCGATGGTCATAACTGAGCCCATTGTAACAAACACACGGCTATTGAGACTGGGTTCGAAACTTTAACCTAGCGCATGCTCAATAAAGATTTTCTTCGATTCATGCAGAGTCTTTCTCGCTAAGCCAAAGAAAGGCTAACTGCTGGCAGGGTGGTAGAATCAAGATTTTGAATGAAAGACAAATCTCTCAAAAAGTTCGGTCCACGAGCTTATCTCACATTTCGATGTACACCAGGAGCCGATTACTCTGTGTACACCTAATTGCAATTCTTTGCTTGCAATCTTTTGACAAGGCGGCCATGTTGGGGGTCAATACAACAGAATTTGTTCTCGAAGAATTTACATGAAAATAGAGCTTAGTTCCCAGAGGAGAGAAATGCTTTTGTTCTTGACCACCGACATGGCCGCCGTGACGTCACGTGCAAACCAGCAATAACGTTGTCTCAGTCGGTCAGCACTCGTTAAGATCCGTCGAAAGGCCCTTTCTCTCCTTATGATTTTTACACAAGGTGGAACTGTTTTCTGCTTTTATATCACACTTAGATGATATTTCAAGCTGGAAATCATTTATGAAAGTGCAAGTCTCTTCAATTTAAAAGAAAAAAAACTGATGCGAAAGGCAAGAGGATTCGAACTTACGACCTAAACTGCCCCTATCTATCCACTAGGCCACTGAGAAATTGTTGGATGGAGTGGAAATAATTAAAGTACACATAGCATCAACCCCAACCCAACAAAAGAACCTAACCAGTTTCGAAACAGTGCTTAACCCTAATCAGTAAAGGAAGTGCTTAACCCTAATCAGTAAAGGCAGTGTTCAACCCTAATCAGTAAAGGCAGTGCTCAACCCTAATCAGTAAAGGCATTGCTTAACTCTAGTCTGTAAAACGCAGTGCTTTACTGGCTAATCCAAAACNCTGGGTTCGAAACTTTAACCTAGCGCATGCTCAATAAAGATTTTCTTCGATTCATGCAGAGTCTTTCTCGCTAAGCCAAAGAAAGGCTAACTGCTGGCAGGGTGGTAGAATCAAGATTTTGAATGAAAGACAAATCTCTCAAAAAGTTCGGTCCACGAGCTTATCTCACATTTCGATGTACACCAGGAGCCGATTACTCTGTGTACACCTAATTGCAATTATTTGTTTGCAATCTTTTGACAAGGCGGCCATGTTGGGGGTCAATACAACAGAATTTGTTCTCGAAGAATTTACATGAAAATAGAGCTTAGTTCCCAGAGGAGAGAAATGCTTTTGTTCTTGACCACCGACATGGCCGCCGTGACGTCACGTGCAAACCAGCAATAACGTTGTCTCAGTCGGTCAGCACTCGTTAAGATCCGTCGAAAGGCCCTTTCTCTCCTTATGATTTTTACACAAGGTGGAACTGTTTTCTGCTTTTATATCACACTTAGATGATATTTCAAGCTGGAAATCATTTATGAAAGTACAAGTCTCTTCAATTTAAAAGAAAAAAAACTGATGCGAAAGGCAAGAGGATTCGAACTAACGACCTAAACTGCCCCTATCTATCCACTAGGCCACTGAGAAATTGTTGGATGGAGTGGAAATAATTAAAGTACACATAGCATCAACCCCAACCCAACAAAAGAACCTAACCAGTTTCGAAACAGTGCTTAACCCTAATCAGTAAAGGAAGTGCTTAACCCTAATCAGTAAAGGCAGTGTTCAACCCTAATCAGTAAAGGCAGTGCTCAACCCTAATCAGTAAAGGCATTGCTTAACTCTAGTCTGTAAAACGCAGTGCTTTACTGGCTAATCCAAAACAATAAGGAATACTACGTTGTGTAAACTTCATAAGGTATCCAAGGACCTTTCGACGGATGTTAAAAAGTGCTGACCGTCTCAGAAAAAGGAAAAAGAGGAAAATGCCAAATCGGAATTAATTAGGCCAATTAAGCCACATTCTCAGGGTGGAATTATTTGCAGCCGTTGTATTTCGCCGCTGGAATATTTTTACTGTTTTTCTGCTTTAAAACAATAACAAATTGCGACGTCCATGTGCGCATGCTGCAAATGAACTATTACAATTAGCCTAATTAATTCCTATTTGCATTTTGGCTTTTTCCTTTTTTCAGTTTTCTAAGACAACGTTTTTGCAACAGCCCACGTTCGATGTATTAAAATTCTAACATGACTCCGAGGCTTTCTGGTCATTTTTTCACATTTGGTTTGGTTTTGTTTGTGCTCAAGTCTCTTCTGGGATTTGTGAGATAATGGAGTTGTGAAAAATTTGCATTTTTGTCCCTGAAGCCTCGGAGTCATGTTAGAATTTTAATATATCGAACGTGGGCTATTAGATGTATGTTCAGGTGTCACTCAAAAATATTTGTCTCAGGAATATTATTGCCCAGAAATTCTAACCTTCGCATCGCATGAAGAGAGAGAGAGAGAGAGAGAGAGAGAGAGAGAGAGAAAAAAAAATGAAAAAGTGCAAAATGGGGAGGAACAAACAAAGAATACTTACATTTGATGGAACGTTGTAGCCAGAGAGAGCTACGTCTTGGTTCAATACACGGGCCCAACGACTGGCAATAGGGTGAAGTCTAGGGTCAAAGGTGAAACATGTTTTGAAAGTTTCATTATAAAGGTGAAAAGGTTTTACGGATGATTTACGCACGACGACTTTATCCGCCTATGGCAGAAGTTTAGAGGGGTTATGTCACGAGGATATTGCTGTTTTAGGTCAATTCTGCGCAGAAATCATTATTTAGTGCTTTTACCCACCCACAAAATTCTTCACCTGTAGAGTTACTAAGGAGGTATCACGGAGCACTAACCATAACAATTTTGGGGGGGATGATTTTGGCAGACATCGTAGCATTAAAAAGTGTAAAAGTTGGCCCATAAAAACTGTGAATAGGAAGAAAGATATTTTAAATTCCGAATTGATAATTTTGGCTATAAAAAAATGCACTTTATTTGAGTGTCAAGGTATTTAGCACGAAAGTACTAACTAGGGACACTATTTTTTACGTCTCCTTCTGGAGAGGAGACCGCCAATTTACGTTGTCATCTGAGCTACGCGAAGGTCTAACCGTTCGCAGGGCAACCGCAGTACCTTCCTTTCTCAGTTTAAGACCCTGAGTATTGGTCCGGCCACGGGAATTGAACCCGTGACCTCCCGCTCTGCAGTCAAGCGCTCTACCGACTGAGCTAATCCTGTAGAGGAAGAAAGAAACAAAGTGGCATCGAAGTTCCCCGTTTTTCTTCTATTTGTGAGACGACGACTTTTTATATACTTGTTGTGTTTTATACCACAATGCTTGAAGACATAACGGTATGTAACACTGCATACCTGCCTCCACTTTCAAGCCGTCTCCAGATACGTAGGCTGTAGTTTAGTGGCCACTGTACGTTGGACAAGCAAGAATGATATTGTTTCCCATCTAATTCTTTGGGAACCAAAACACAGCAGACGCTCAAGAGGGTCATCAGCCAGACAACAACATTCATTGACCAACTACAGAGTGACAGCGGTCTTATGAGGTAGGATCTTCCATCTGTCGTTGCCAACAGACGGGAATGGGACAGACTTATTATATCGGTGCGGGTGCGCCCGATAGATAAAACACTGCACTATATGTAACAATATATTACAGTTATCACTCCAAATTACCTCATGGATTCTTTCACACAAGCTTTAATGTACTGTAATTTTGCAAAACTCTCAGAGTTGAAATCACCGTGAGGCCCAATGAGAGAGAGGACTTCTTCATATACCCTCTGCTGTACCTTGGGATTATTGGCCAAATGATAAAGAAGCCAGAGCATTGCGTTAGATGTCTGAAAAACAGATTAATAAAATTGATAACTTTATAAATAAATTGCCTCTTTTTGCGCTGCAAAATGAGCCAAAAAGGCAAATTATACCAGTGGGACTTTTTCCGGAAAACGATGAAACGTATGCTGGTGCTGACGAACTATGCCAAAAACTGAGCTAACACAATCTATCTAAGACTAAAAGTGCCGCCATTCAATATGATTTTTGCATGTGTCTTTTTTTCATTTTGCTTTCAACTTATCGTTAAAAACCCAGCTGCAGTGTTTTCTCCCGATCTTGACTCAAGTGAAGACCTTAACTTTGGACTGCAGAACACGATCCTACGCTCAAAAGGGATGCTCTCCATACCGGGCCGAATTGTTCGAAGGCCGTAGCCCGGGGTTAAATTTTTAACCCGGGTTTCTTTTTCTTTTGTTCAAAAGCATTTCCTCGGATAATTTTTTAATTTCTTTATAATCTTTCCAATCATCAAATTGAGACGAAAAGAATTTAACTGAATTTGCTATTTCAGCTTTTATGTCTGAATTCAAATTTCGCACTAACCCAACTTTGAACCAACCCGGCCCTGATTTATAAATCGGCGAGGCTAATCACTGGTGGATTCAGTATTATAGCACAAACGCGTACCGCCGTCTCATTTGCCCACTGGAATTTCTTATTGTTTTCAAGCTCAAAAAAATAAAAAAAATGAAACGGGCACATGCGACGGGTGTACGACTGCGTCTGCTGCCAATGAGACCCCGTCAAGACCTGTCCGAATACTTTTTGAAAACGGAGATTTTTTTCCTCCAGTCCCATTTCAAAGAAATAGGCGTCCAAAGGTAGCGTATTCGAATCGTTTTCGCCCGTCCACATTTATTCGCTGTCTACATGAAACCGCTCATGTGATGAAAAATGCGCCGCAGAATCCCTTATAGAGCATGTGTAATGCTAGTGTAGTATATGATGTAAATTGATTTATGAGATCGTCGTATCGGTCCATCTGTAAGTAAACGAGTTGCCGGCCGGCGTTTTTTTTCCTCCATTTCGGAGAGCGTTTTTGAAAAGATGCGTTTTCGGTGACCACTTTCACCGGATACGTGAGGACAGTAGGCCAAAATATGCGGTTCAAAAATATCCGGATTCGTGTGGTCGGGACCTTAGCATTGTTGTGGTTGCTAAAACTCGGTTATGATTAGCAAGTTACCTCGCCGACGTTAGTTACGAACGTGCGATTATGCACGGAAACATATTATCAAGCATTTACCGTCTCGACTCCTGCTCGGAACATTCCGATTGAATTCATATTAATCTCTTCCGGGGTGAGTTCGCCTTTCATTAATAGATAGGTAAGTAGAGATACACCTGCAATGAAGAAAAAAAAAGAAGCTGGAATGAAAATAATACTACTGTCATCAAACATGTATTTGTGCTGAAACATTCACCGCGGTCAAGCGAGAAAGATTTGCAAAAGCTAATACTTAGTAATAAAATATTACTAATTCGCTGTTAGTTTATTAAATTTTGTAAATTTGATGTCAGAATCCTCGTTCAAAGTCATTTTGTTGTCATTGTTAGTCTATCCTTACTTTGAACTTGACATTGAACGAGTTACAATGCGCAAATTAAACCCTTGTTAATTTTGCTCCTTTTTGCTAATTCCTATGAGCGGAGCATCCGCGCGAAGCGCGCGTAGCGGAGCCCCCTACCTAAAAGAAAAAGGGAAGCTATCGACGCCAGAAAAATTGGTTATGAAGTCAGCGTACGAAAGCCCGCCAAAAAAACCTCTAGGATTAGGGGTAAAAAACCTAGTAGGGTAGGGAAGAGAGTCCCAGACATGTACGTTGCCTTTCGTTTTTGGCGCAAAATTAACCATTTTAGGGGCAACCAACGGAGTTGCGCGAGGAAAAATCAAGATCGATGTTTCTTGTGTTCGACTTACGACAACATTTTTCGGAAATAAATTTCTAAAGCTTTGCTTTTTGCCTGGTCAAGCTTTTGGTTACACTCTACGAACCTTCTAGTCTAGTCGACCTAGTCCTAATCCCCGGAAATAAAACAAAAATAGGCCTAAGACGTTTAATAGACCATGGTAGATCTTAGGCCTTCGTTCCAGTCGACCTTCCTTTAGAGGTGGGGACAGCTCCGTCTTTCGACAGGCATATTTTTTACAAAGGAAAGATGGCGAGGCCGAGCCCGAGCTCGTCCAGTTGAACGAGCTCCTATGATCTCATATGGGTCATTAACCTGTTGTTTCGTTAGTTAATCATCTTCGCGAAATTAACTGCCGACGAAGGTAAGTGGGAGTAAGATATACTGCTCGCAGTCTGCAAACAATTTGGGGCAACTGTGAAAGTAGATGTGGAAAGGGGACCACTGGACATGTTAATCTCGACCGCACTCTTATCACACATGCCTTGCTAGTGATGATCGCGTTATTGAGGGCGACAAGAGGAGCCTGCAATCCTTATAAGTATGCTCGGCTAGCATTCTTTTGGACTACCACTAAGAATGAATGGAATGAACAGACAGCAATCTGATCATGCGTGTTTGTACTTTCTATCGCTCGTAATCTGATCATGCGCGTTTGTACCTTCAATCACTCGTAACCTGATCATGCACGTTTGTACCTTCTATCACTCGTAATTTGATCATGCCTGTTTGCTCTTCAAAGCAAGAGCCTTCGATCAGAGCCTGAAACTTGCCCGGACTCTCTAACCTCTGGTTATTGCTAGCATATCACGGTATACTTTATGAAGTTACACTCACTTTGATTGTCATCAAACGCCCCTCCTTCTTCAGCCATTTTGTTCAATTCCGCAACCTTGTTGTCCACAATCTTTTGGCTCATGGCGAATGAGGTATCTGTAGCTTCACAGAATTTCCGGTACGTTGGCGTCGTGAAGAATCTCCAAAACAGGCTTTCCCATCCTCTACTCAACTTTCCCATGAGTGCAAAGGAATCCATGGTGCTTTGAACCATTCTGACTGTGTCTTTGTTGGGTGGGTCATCATACAGTCCAACTCTTACGTCAAACGCCATGGTACCTACGGCTAAAAGAGTGGAGTGGAGCTCATTTCAAGTTCCGAGAGTGACCAACATTAAATCTCTCCTAACATTAAATTCATACATCATCAAAAGAAAAGGTTATGAGAATTAATAAATTGATCACCAAAGGAAAAATTCTTTGATCTTTTACTAAATTCTCTCAATTACTTTTCTAAAGAAATGTATCAGTCTGGAGAATTTGTGTATTTTTTTAATGGATATTCGGGTTATGAACAAAAATTGTTAAAAGCAGAATACAGATATAATTAGGATTTTTACTTTCACATAACTCTTTTAACATTTTAGATCCTATCATTTCAATTTTGATATGGTTTGAGAGCCTTTCTCTCAAGATCTTGCCATTACATCTACAATAGTCAAGGTCAACCAGGCCCTAAGTAAAACTCTATCAGACTGCTGAGCAAAGGCTGTCACTACCACCAAAAACCTGCTTACATCTTCTACGTCCCTGCAAGTCTAGAGGCAATTAAGGGCTTACAAGCAGCTACAGCAAGTTTCCCAGGGAAAGAATTTGAAAACAAGTATATTTGAACCTCCATAAGGCATCCGCCCTCAAGGTGTCGGCAATTGGCCACTAAAGAGAGGTTGGCCACACAATAGAGGTTGTCATAAATTAGCATAACCTTTAACAGAAACATCACATTACTTTTAAAAAAAGATGCAATGGGGGTGGCATCACTGATCCATAATCAGACATCACCTTCCTATCTCGGACTGTATTTTCCTTCATCATGTTTTTAATTTAAAGCCAAACTATATAAGTGTATGAAGCACTTAAGTCTTAATGGCTACTTGATAGAGGTGACAACAATAGACAAACTCTTGTCGGAATGGCCAAAAGGTGGCCACAGCTGCTTGATGGAGGTGGTCACATAATAGAAATAGAGGTGTCATTTAACCACTTAGTAGAGGGTGGCCGCTTAACAGGTGCTTGCTTAATGGAGGTTCAATTTAAATGCTTTGTGTGATCATTGTATTAGTACCCCAGCTCCAAGTAAGCACTTACACTCTGTAGCCCACTGGGCGAGTTCTTTACTAAGATCTGGAATCTCCATATCAGCTCCTCGTATAGACACCATGTGCTCTATAGCATCCCTAGTTACAGCGGTAAAGTTTTCCATGTTCTCACGTATGTCTTTAGGTCGCAGCATTTTTGGTGCTAGAGCTTTGCGCATTCGGTTCCACTCCACTCCCTCCCTAAAAACAATCACAAGGAAAATAATTTAACAGACAAACAATATAGGCACATATATGGAATTGTAAAAAGAAACATTGCAAATTGTAATTTATTTACCCATGGAGCACTTAGGAGTTCTTAAGAACTTGAAATGTGTCCGTGCATTCCAGATCGAATCGGAATTTGGAAGTGTTGTTTTTTAAGGACAGGGAAAAACTGGAGTCCCCGGAGGAAACCTCTCAGAGCAAGGGAGAGAACCAACAACAAACTTAACCCACGTATAAAATCGACACCAGGATTCGAACCCGGGCCACATTCTTGGGAGGGGAGTGTTCTCTCCACTGTGCCATGCACCCTTGCTCCCCAAAATTCAATTGAGACCAGTCACATTGTTTTTCAGTTTTAATATATCTTTGGTTTAAAGTGTAATTGATCACAGGAATTTTTTTAAATTTGAGAGCTAGCCTTCCGATGAAAGCACCCACAGCATTTTTTTCAAAGAGACAAATGGTAGACAAAATCAGTCAAAAAGTACCTGTTTCTGAGAAACATAAGCATGCTTTTGGCGAAAATTCAAAAAATAGAAGACTTATGTCTGAAAAACACACTTTTCATTTTATTTGTCCTCTTTTCTGCAGGTTTTATTCAAATGAACAATGCATGCTTAAAATTTTTTTCATTCATATTGGGATCATGATAATGCTAAATATATTGAGCCGAAATGTACGTTTCTCTGTAAAGGCTGGTTTTCACTTGCAATTATGGAGTCGGAGTTGGAGTTGTAAGTGGAGTTGGAAGAATCAGAAAGTTTCCATTTTCTGCCAACTCCAGTTATGACTCTGTTGGTTACGATCTAGTGAAAACCAGATTGTTGGAGTCGGAAGCAGAAGTGGAAGGATAAACCAATCACAATGCCACTCCCACACTTTGTGTTTGGTTTAGTTCTTTGGCTTCTCATACATGCCAACCCTCCCGGATATGACACCAATCTCCCGGTCTCCCGTACGGGTCGCTTTATCTCCCGGATAAAATCATCTTTTGAGCTTTTCTGTGCCTTAGTTTGAAATTTAGCCCATTTTTAGTTCAAAACGTGAATTTTTCTTATTCGTAATACTGTTTCTGAGGCATTTTACACCTATTTAGTCACTGACAAAGATTATTTCTGGCATCAAAACGATGATCGCGAATTTTAATGGTATCTACTTCATGTAAGACTTGATATAATGTCCTAAATGTCCGGGGGTAGTGGGCTAATGGAAAACAGAGAGTCTCCAGATTTTAAATCTCCAGAGGTTGGCATCTCTGGCTTCTGCTTGTGACTCCAACCACAGGAAAAATAAACCGATTCCCATTTTTGGGTATTTTGGGGTATTTAAAGAATACCCACAAAAATCCCAAATTTGGAAGAGTGAGACAAGTCCCAATCTGGGAACTTGGTTGGGAATTCCCTGGTTGGGACTTGTCTTACTTTGCCAAATTTGGGATTTTTATGGGTATTCTTTAAATACCCCAAAATATCCAAAAATGGGAATCCGTGATTTTTTCCGGTGAACAACCTCTAGTTTTCAATTGATCATAAATGATGGAGTCGTAAGCGGAATCATAACGCTGTTTTCATTAGATTGTAAAGTTCTACGCTACTAACTCTAACTCCGACTCCATCTCTGGTGAAAACCAGCCTTAAAAATGCGATTTCTGTAGTGGCCGGTGAGGTTATATTGCGCGTGTCCTAGCCTGATGACGTCACAAGCAGAGCCGGTCATTATAGGGACCACTACATATGAGCGTGGTTCATGAATACTTTAGCGACGGCCTCAAAAGATATAATAATGGGCCCTAGATAGATCCGGACCCCGGCCCCAACCCCGCGTTTTAAGGACACCTGCCGACCCAAAATCACGAAACGCATTCGACGCTAAATGAAAATAGTAAGGGGATTAATTCGGATCACATTATTTGCGGTGACGTGCCCAGTTTATGGGCATCTTTTTCACAAGAATTGTTGAATCTTACCGAAACGCGATACTCTTAGGTATTCCTCTAATTTTCATGTATTTTTCCAATGCTGTTAATCCTTGCTTCGGTCGCATCGGATATCTACCATCAGCTTTGATCACTATCTCCACATCCTCGGGGTCTTGTATTAAAACAACAGTCCTCCCCAAAATGGTCATCTTAAATATCGGTCCGTACTTCGCAAAGTTACTTTTAAGTTGTGCTATTTGTTGTTTGAAGTCAGCGTCCTTTAGGTAGCTGAATATGTCGCCAAAGAACGGCCATCCCTTCGGCCCCGGCATGTATTCGAACGAGCGCACGCCATCTGGGAGTTTAGCACCCATCTGGCTTTCCAGTCTTCTGAAAGGATTGAAGAGCCAAACCAGGGCTGCAATGACTAAGCCCGAACAGAATAAATACAGTGAATCGTCCATTTCGCAAGAAGAGAAAAGTATGCGTGCGTACCTGACACAAGAAGTTCAAGTGGCCTCCTGACCTAACAAAATACCTTTGTTGTTAGCGTAAAAATTGAAGCCAGTGTTGCGTGACGTTGGTTAGACATCAGGAGAATGTGGGACGGTTTTTTTTTCGGGGGGTGGGGCAGGGATAGGGTTACTTGTTTATGTTCTGTAATGAGGCATGGCCGCGCTCTGAAGCTCAGTCTTTTCGATATTTCGTACTACATCTCCATATTGTAGCTCAATCATTCAATCAATCATTTATTATTGATCAATCAGCATTTACATTTTTTTTTCCAACACACACATCGCAAAAACTTGTTAAGTCTAAGAGGCCAACATTCAAAAATACCAAATCGAAAATTATACTAAAGTTACAAGCCAACAAAAGTAATTTACATAAATGAACAAATGAAAAGAAGATCAAGAGGAGATAAATCTTGTCAAAGAGGAGTCCAATATCATACGACTCCTTTTTACATGGCGAATTAAGTAACGCATACATTTTCCATGGGGAAATAAGATACGAATGCGTTAAGTAACGCATACATTTTACATGGCGAATTAAGTAACGCATGCATTTTACATGGCGAATTAAGTAACGCATACATTTTACATGGCAAATTAAGTAACGCATGCATTTCACATGGCGAATTAAGTAACGCATACATTTTACATGGCGAATTATTAAAGTAACGCATGCATTTTACATGGCGAAATATGTAAGGCTTGATACATCTGCAGGACGTATGAAAGTTGACAGCAGCCGACATTTTACTTGGTTATGAAATAAAAGTTACTTTAAATATTATTAGTATCGCATTTTAAACACACGAGAGTCGTATTTATTTTGAATTAATGGCGAAGAATCCGATGAACTATCGTTTTTGAATCGGAGAAATACTACTGTCTGATGGGGGTGTCTAGTAAACTCATATGGCAGGTGTTGAGTCCAATTTTTAACAGTGTTTATTTCTCGCGGAATTCCAAAACTTGCGGATTTTTTAAATTCCTGACCATCCTTTATACACAGATCAATTTTTCTATCACGATCTCTCGACCTCGATTTATACGGGTTTCAAGGAAAATTAAATACATTTGATTAATTCAAGATGATCCTTCTTTAGTAATAAATGACGTCATCATGACATTACTGGTATTGTTGAACATTAGTTATTATATGTCTTAGCAAACTTCGTAATTTTGTCAGACTCCTTACTATGTGAGTATTTTTCGCTTTAAGGGGAAAAATTGATGGAAGTTGGATTTTGCCAATAAATTCAACAATATTACGTCATAATAACGTCAAATTACGTCGTTGTGCAAACCAAGTTATGCCTAGGGTTTTCCATGGCGCCCGTGACATTCCAGGCAGCTGTATTATGAGGAAAAATTCTACTTTTTGTTACTTATAACGCGGTTATGTATTTTCACATATTTTCACATAAAAAGGAAAAGGCATAGGCATTTCTTGGGACTCTCCTTTGCAGGAAAAACTGGATTTCTCGAAAATGGTGGCGAGAGGCAGGAGCAAGGTTAAGCTTAGTTCAAGTGAAACTATCCGAATTCATTATTGTCGTCTCTGGCGTCTAAACAGTAGTCGGTTGTCATCACATGGCAGAAAATCTTGCGACATTTCTCTTGATGTTTGAATGTTGGGTATCCTGTGGAAAAGGGAGTT